GAGGAAGGGAGAGGGATAGAGAGTTAGAAACATCGATCAGCTGCCTCCTGCACACCTTCTACTGGGGATGTGCCCGCAACCAAGGTACATGCCCTTGACCAGAATTGAACCTGAGACCCTTGAGTCCGCAGGCTGATGGTCTATCCACTGAGCCAAACCGGTTAGGGCTGGACTAGTTTATTTAATCCCCCTCACAACATTGAGATGAATCTAATCATTATTACACAGAGGTAAGTCACTTGCTAAAAGTAGTAGAGCTGGAATACAAACCTAAAGTCTTTCTCCAGAGTGGACTTTCTCCACTAAGCAAACTCAAATATTGAGTGTATCTCATAACAGTTGCTCTTTGCTGGGATCCTGACTTTGTTATATTTTTCAGGTCTTTCTGTGGAATTTGGAACAGTTCTAATTTACACATGTGAGAAGAGTTGCTGGCCTCAAAATCAGCAGACTCCCATGGAAGAAGTTTGTATTGTACAAGAAGACCCAGATGAATTATTATTTAAGTAGAATATTTCCATTTTTAATATAAATGGGAATCTATTTTAATGTCCAAATTTGTGTTTTTACTTCATTTTGACTTACAAGCTATTCACTCTCATTAAGTGTTGTCTCGCTTTTTGGCACCGTGCTGGGACTGAAGCGAGATTTAGAACCTCCTGGCTGTGGGCTGGTCTACCAGGTTCAATGGCCTTTCTCCACAGGGTACACCTGGAATGAGGCTCCTCTGTAACCCAGAGGGCAGCTGTTCCCTGCACAGCAGGCTGGTGGGCATTCTGGGAGGGTGAGCAGCCATCAGCCTCTAATTACCCCTGCTGCCTCTGCCCCTCTCTGGACTCTTGCAGTCCCTGGATGCTGACAGATCAGCTGCTTCAGGCTCCCACACTGTGACACTAGCTGTTTATACTGCCCCATGTTCCCCACCTCAGGCTCCCTGCCCTCACCCATTTCTACTGTGGACGAAAAAGGGGCCACATACCAAACCCGACAACCTCGGGGGAGGCTTGCATTGTGCGCTGTACAAATTCAGGGACTGAAAGTAACCATATATGGCAGTGATGGTGAACCTATGACACGTGTGTCAGAGGTGACATGCGAACTCATTTTTTTTGGTTGATTTTTCTTTGTCAAATGGCATTTAAATATATAAAATAAATATCAAAAATATACGTCTTCGCCGAAACCGGTTTGGCTCAGTGGATAGAGTGTCAGCCCAATGTGCTGACACGCCGAGCTCAAAAGGTTCACCATCACTCATATAGGGTGTTCTGAACAAAAAATTCCTAACAGTCAGTCATGGTGGGTAGTCACGTTTTAGGCTTATAGCTTCCTTGGCAAAGGTCCTTTTTTTTACCTTAAGTAAGCCTGTCTATGTTTTTTCACATCTAAGGTAACACGCCTTTGAAATAGGAGTTATCTTTTCCAGACCCCTCAAGGCATAACTGCTGTACCAGAGCTCCAGACCACAGAACCCTCCTTATCTTGTTCCCGCATCCATCTCTGTGCTGTAAATGTTAGTTATTTACTCTCCTGTACCCACCAATGAAAGGAAATAGGTTTCTTTATTTTGCCTTCGTATCCAACCCCAGAAATTTCTCAGTTCGCTTTTATCTTGACTTAATTTACCACCAGTGGATTTCATGTAACCCTAATGTCTCCTCCTTTTATTCGGATATAAAATAAACTACACCCTCTGGAGCAGTTTTTCAATCTGTTGGTATTGCTTCCTATCAGTTCGGCTCAACTAACCTCATAAAAATTTTCTGAAGGTTTTGATGTCTCCTGACACTACCTTCTGCCTGTGCAGCATCATAGGAAGGGGCCCTTACTGAATTCTGGACATTGTCCTTCCATCCAGCCATCCACTTTCCAAGTTCTCTTTCCATTCACTTTTTGTTATTGTCCCCTTCCATTCTGCTACGCCTTGACAGCACTATGAACACACTCCACCAGTTTGTACAGACCTGCTCTTTGCACAGATGAGGAAACTGGATATGAACAATTCGATTTGCAACTCTGGTAAATAATACATTAGGCCCAGAGTATCATGAGATGGGGTTTTCCTGGACAGTGCATGTCTGGTTGGAACCCCATCGATCCTTCCCCCTGGGGTGTGCCGTGCCAGCGCGGCCAAGGGTGAACCTGAGGATGGGGCGGTGAAGGATTAAAGAAGACAGACTAAGAGAATATAGCTGGTGCTCCTCAGATCTTCCATGCCTGGATGAGGACACAGAAAGATCCAGCCTGCAAGCCGATGCTTTATTTTACGTTCTCATTAAAACAAGGGTAGATTAACACGTATACAAATGTTCTTGTTTTGGCAACACTTGCTGCACCTCCCACAGCCCATTAGCTGCTTAGGAAGGAATGAGGGCTGCAAGGCCAGGCTTAATTATGCTAGGAGAGCTCTGCTCTCCAGGCTGGGACTTGTTTGTGGCCCTGCCACACGTCAGCCTGAGGCTTGACCCTAGAGCTGCTCCCTACCTTGCGTCACTTGAGGGAAAGTGGCTGGTTGTGTACAAACTGAAGGTGCTGGTCAGTGAGGCTGCAGGCATGCTGGATTTTGTTGGGGAAGACAATTTTCCCTTCTAGATACTTGTCTGAGACACCCCCAATGTAATAAAAGATTAACAGAAGAAAAACAAGTTTTAATAACATGTTATACCTCTTGTATATAAGGGAGAGACCCAGGAAAACTGAGTAACTCTCAGAAATGGTGCAAGCCATCATCCTAAAGGCCTTGTTCAGCTAAAGAGAAAAATTATTGGGAAACAAGGAGGGAGCTAGTAATGAGAGGTTATTGGACAGTAAACAAAGGTAGGGTTAGCTATTGTTAAGGCAGAAAGTATAGTGTAAACGCATGTAAGTGTAGAACTGCATATTGCTACGTAAGAACCTAGATCTAGACTCGGAGACAAAGGACAGCAAGGGCCCTGAGGAGTAGGGTTATTTTTCAGTTGTTATTTCCTGCATTTATAACCTTGAATTTGGTGGGCAAGTATTTTACACTTTACACACTCACAGAGACACATCCACAAAGAAAACCCAAGGCCCAGGGAAGGAAGAGGGAGTCAGGAGAGAAGCCAAGAAAGTGGCTCCCATTCACTGAGTATCTGGAGAGAGGAGCAGGTCCAGCATCTTTGGGGGCCTCTGTTCTGTTTCGCTGCCAGGGTAGGGCCTTTGCGAGAGCCGCCCAATGTAGGAAAGGGATATGAGCCATCCTCTATGCAGGGATGCCCTGACTCTGGTTGGGCACTCTGACACTTCTGCACCTCATGCTTCAGGGCAACAGCCTAAGTATTCCTCACAAATCAGCTTGGTGTATAGACGGCGAACCAAGCAGTTGATTAGAAAGACCGCAGAAGTCAAAAGCATTTTTTTCTGTTCTTTACCCTTACCTTTCTTCTTCTAATAATTTTTTTAAATATATTTTATTGATTTTTTACAGAGAGGAAGGGAGAGGGATAGAGAGTTAGAAACATCGATGAGAGAGAAACATCGATCAGCTGCCTCCTGCACATCTCCTACTGGGGATGTGCCTGCAACCCAGGTACATGCCCTTGACCGGAATCGAACCTGGGACCTTTCAATCCGCAGGCCAACACTCTATTCACTGAGCCAAACCGGTTTCAACACTAATAATTTTTTAAATAAAGGAATGGCAAGACACAGGCCAGTATTTTTTTAAAATAAATTATATTTTATTTTTATTGATTTCAGAGAGAGGAAGGAAAAGAGAGATAGAAACATCAATGATGAGAATCATTGACCAGCTGCCCCCTGCTAGGGATTGAGACCACAACCTGGGCATATGCCATGTCTGGGAATCAAACTGTGTCCTCCTGGTTCATGGGCCGATGTTTAACCCGCTGGGGTGCCTGGGCAACACTGGCCAGACTTCTCTAAAATTTTTAATTAAACATATTTTTCATATAATGTGTAAAAATTTAAGGTGTACAATGTGTTGATTTAATACATTGATATATTGTATTATGATTGCCACTAGAGGCCCGGTGCACAAAAATTTGTGCACTCGGGGGAGTCCCTCAGCCTGGCCTATGTCCTCTTGCAGTCTGGGACCCCTCTGAGGATGTCCACCTGCTGGCTTAGGTCTGCTCCCTGGGGGGATCGGGCCCAAGCTGGCAGTCAGAAATCCTTCTGGCAGCCTGGCAGCCCTTGGGGCATGTCCACTTGCGAGCGGGGAGCAGACCTAAGCTGCAGTCGGACATTCTTAGCGCTGCTGAGGAGGCGGGAGAAGCTCCCACCACCACCGCTGTACTGGCAGCCATCAGCCTGGCGTGTGACTGAGCAGCGCTCTGCTGGGGTCCAACCGCAGCAGGTCCAGGGGTCCCCAAAAGTGTGGACGGAGTTGGCAAAGAAGGAATGACACGAAGACAGCGTTCAGTTGATCAGCAGCCTAGCCAGGATCTCTAGCCAGGATCTCCAGCCAAGTTCTGGTCTGGATCTCCATCGAAGTTCTGGTGTTTATTGTCTTGTTACATCTGTATTTACACCAGTCGATTTTAATCCTGTCAATTTCTATTGCAAAGATTAGGGCGTTTCTTATCTCTATTCCATGGAGTAAAGATTATGTAGCTTACCCGTGATTATTTGTAGTTAAAGTGATTAACTACCCGCCTGGCACTTAGTTAAGGGGTTTTATCCCCTCCCTAACTTCAGGGAAAAATCCCTACCTGGGGAAACAACCTTTCTCGGAGAGGTGACCTTGGTTAAAACACACAGCGCTAAGGGGAGCAAACATATTAAGAACAGTATGCTATATACGCCAGGTCCCTTGAAACATATGCTGTGCAGATGTTTCTTTCCTGCAGCGACTGTGTTCAGCAGCAAGGATGGACCGGCTTCCAGCAAATTCCCCCTTTTTTATTTTTTAAATGATAGCGCATGCAAAACAGTGGCCACCTCCCAGATTGGGCCGTTTAAGACTCGGAAGAAGACTGGCAAGCAATGACAGTGAGCATAGCTATAAACATAGTGGATGGAGCGCACAAGAAGCCCCATTCCTGTAGAAGGTTGCTGGCCTCTTCAGTCAAGGGATTTCAGCTGTCCTCAAGTTGTTGGTTTGATTGTCTTTGTTGGTCTGGCTAGCAGGAGGCGTCACTGGTGACGGGCTTCCCGAAGCATCAGCGAGTTGAAGGGCTGCATTAAAGAGTCCATCAGGGCCATGGTTGATGGTGGTGTCGGTGTCTGAGGAGGAGTAAGCTGTGCCCTCTGGGTCAGCTGATATGGAAGATGGAGGGTAGTAGAGAGAAAAAGAAGAGAAAGCAAAAGAACTACAAGGCATGGAAGTGCTTAGAAAAAAGATGGAGAAGAAACGGAAGAAGGCAGCATCCTGACACAGCTCTTTCCTTCAGCTGCCCCTTTCCCTGTGGTCCAAGGTAGATATGGGAAACAAGTCCTGTTTCAGTGAGAGGGCAGCTGCTGTCAGCCAGTCTCTGTCTTTACCTGGGTCCTGATCTGAGCTGGGCCAAGTCTCTTTCTGTTATCTGTGTCCGGATCTGAGCTGGGCATGGGAAGCGGGAAGCAGCCATGGGGA